AGCATCACTTCCTGATAAAAGTCCTGAGAAAATAAGGTTTGGGAAGATCATACCTCAGAATAATAAAGGCCATACAAGACATAGCCACAGGCAATATACTGAAATGAGAAAAGTTGAAAACATTTCCTCTAGGATCAGGAACAAGGGAATGTATTCTCCTTGCTCTTAGTCAGTATAGTACTAGAAATTTTAGTCAGAACAGTGAAATAAGAGAAATAAAGGGCATACAAATTGGAAGGAGAGAAGTCAAATTATTTGTCTGCAAATGATATGTTTAAATATATAGAAAAACCCAAAGACTCCACCAAAAGACTATTAGAATGGATAAAGTCATTAAGGTAGCAAGATACAAAATCAATATGCAAAAATCAGTGAGATTTTAATACACCAATAATGAATGTGCTGAGAACCAAATAAGAAAAGCAATCCCATTCATGAATCTTTAAAACAAGCAAACAAAACAGCAAAGAACAAAAGACATCTACCACACACTGATTAAAGAAATTGAAGGAGATACAAAATAAATAAGAAATTCCCCATGCTCATGGATTGGAAGAATTAGTGTTGGTAATAATACTTTAAACATATATTCCTTCAGCAATAATACCTTAAGCAATTTACAGATTAAAAGCCATTCCCATTAAAATATGAATGCTATTCCTCACAGAACTAGAGAAGAAAATTCTAAAATTCATATGGAAACACAAAAGACCCTGAAGAGCTAATGAAATCTTGAGGAAAAAAATACACAAAGGCTGTAAGCATCACAATAACTTATTTCAAGACATACTACAGTACCATAGCAACCAAAATAGCATAGTATTTGCATAAGAACAGATGCAATCACCAATGGTACAGAATACAGACACTCTCCTTCTCTCTCTCTCTCTCTCTCTCTCTCTCTCTCTCTCTCTCTCTCCATATATATGTGTATTTATAGATAGATAGATAGATAGATAGATACATACATACATACATACATACATACATATAGATATATCCATGCCTCTATATCTGCTGATTCCTAACAAAGTTTCCAAAAAAGAAAACATTGGATAAAGTACCACCTCTTCAATAAATGATGCTAAAAATGGATATCCACATACAGATGATTGAATCTTGATTCCTCTTTCCATGTACAAAATTGAATTCAAAATGCACACAGGCTTAAATGTAAAACCTGAAAACTCTAAAACTACTAGAAGAAAATATGGAGAAATAAGAAACTGGTTCAAGCAACAATTTTCTGGATAGAACCACAAAAGCACAAGAAACAAAAGCAAAAATTGACAAAGTTGATATATTAAATTGAAAACCTTCTGCACAGCTAAATAGTCAACAGAATGAGACGAGCCATGGAATGGGAAAAAACTTGCCAGCTATGCGTCTCACAAAGGGTTAATACCTAGAATGTATAATGACCTCAAAAAAAACTAAAAACAAGTAATCCAATTAAACATTGGACAAATGATTTGTGAATAGACATATCTCAAAGAAGTACAAACAGTCAAAAATACATTAAAAAAAAACCAGTCAATATCATTAGCCATCAGGGAAATGAAGATGAAAACTACAATGAGATACCATATCGCCCCAGTTAGAAGGTCTATTATTACTAATAAACCCTAAAATTAATAAATGTCGGTGACTATGTGAGAAAAAAAGAACACTTACACTCTCTTGGTGGGAATTTAAATTGGTAAGATCATTATGGAGAGCAGAAGATTTCTCAAAAACTTAAATTAGATCTGCCCTATGACCCAGCTATCCTGTTTCTGGGTACATATCCACAGGAAAAGAAATCAGCATACCAAAGGGATATCTGCATGCCCATTCAGTGTTATTCACAGTAGCTAAGATATTGAATGAGAACATGTGTTTATCAATAGGTGAGGAGATAAAGACAATGTAGTATATTTACACAAGGGAATATTATTCAGCTACGAAGAAAAAATTGGCTCTTGTCATTCACAGCGAAATGGAAAAAACTGGAGGACATTATGTTAAGCAAAGTAGGCCAGACACAGAAAGATAAGTCCCATACATTCCCTCTTATATACGGAATATTAAAAAGGGTGACCTGAATGTAGAATAGTGACCAATAGAGATTGAGAATGGATGTAGGGTGAGTAAATAGAGGTTCGATGTGATCATGCTGAGTGTATGCATATATGGAAATATATGCATTAATAAGGGCAACTATTACATGCTAATAAAAATTTTTAAAAATATATAATTGTATTTATTAATTATTTAAAAAAAATAACTTACTAATCTTTATTTCCTCACATATGAATACTTGGTAGAGAAGCATTCCACACAACATTTCTTTTTTAATATGTGAATTATTGCTATTTTACACAGAAAAGTATCATACTCAAGGTGCTGATTTTCCCAGGTCCCATGAGATTATTGAAGTACTTACGTAAACATTTTGGTGGGTTTGACCACTTTCCATTTCTACATATTACTGTCTTGCTACCCTCAAGTTGATATAAGGATTGGCACTGATATTCAACTGCTGATCCCGTAGGATATACTGGTAATGGGAATGAAGTGAGGTCTCCATTGTCAATAGGTGGAGGAGGTCCACATTTTCCTGTGGAATCTGGAAAAATACCATTTCATTTATGGAGAGAACAAATCAAAATACAGGATAAAATTAAAGCCAGGACAAACACATCACTTTAGATAGCATCAAGATTTTATGATTTCTGGTAACAAATGATTGCTCACAGAAATCTTAATCATAGAAAATGAGAGTTACATTTTAAGCTCTTCTTTTCCTCTCACTGAAGGCGCATATAAACCATCGACAAATGTGTCTGCTTTGTAGTGATTCAATACTAAAAAACGTGTCTTAACATATAAATCCTGAACAGGTAGACAGTGAGGACAAACTAAGAAAGTTTCTTGTTATTATATATGACATTACTCAGTATTTATTGTGTTCCTACTGACTTCTTTTTAATTTTCTTTTTTATTACAAAAGAAACAAAAACTCCTTGAAAAAAGTCCGAAGGAAGTAAATTTGTAGAGAATAATAGGGAAATATTGTCTTCCTAATTTGAACAAGATGAGTAAAAATCATTGTTACCTATTCCTTTTTTTTCAGGTTTTGTATGTTGAGTTTTTTTAAATTTTAATTTTTTTATGTATGACAGCAGAGTGCATTACAATTCATATGATGCATATAGAGAATAATTTTTCATATCTCTGTACACAAAGTAGAGTCACACCATTCTTGTCTTCATACAAGTACTTAGGGTAATAATGTCCATCTCATTCCACTGTCTTTCCTCTCCCCAAGACCCCTCCCTTCCCCTTTTGCTAAGTATAATTTATAATCTTGGACATAGTAATTTTTAAATGCCAATATAAAAAGACTCTAGAAGGTACAGAGAATTCACTCTGGCTATTCAGGACTCAAGGAATGGCAAATAGGTTGCTATATGAGTTCACTTTGGGGCTCCTGTGTGTTCTAGATGGAGCACTGGAGAAGGCTGATGATCTCAAGAATGATATCAGGTAGAGATAAATAAAAAAGCTCATGCAGAGTCTCATCCCTTTAACTTAAGGACCAGGAAGAGAGCAGCCTTGCAAGACTAAGAGATCTTTAAAACAATACATGACCTAATCTAGAGAAAATAATAAAAACATAATGACCAGAGACCACCCACATATAGGGGTGGCAGAACAGATCCTGTTTGTCTGTAGAGGCTGAATGAGAAATCTGGACTTAAATCCAGCATGGCTGTAAGGGAGAAGCACTGAACAGGAAATTTAAATAAAATGGGGGGGGGGTCTCAAATGTAATACCTAAAATATCAAGTGTAAAATTAAAAATTATTCATCATATTAAGGATCAGAAACATTTAAAAACAAAAAAGAGAATAAAAGAGAATACTGATGTGATAAAGATATTGATAGTCAATGTTTCTTAAAAGCTCAGTAGGATTTAGAACAGATAAATATAACAAATTAAAAACAAAACAAAATGTCTCCCTGGACAGACTGAAGAGTTTGAGGCTGCAGAAGGATAAATCCATGCACTTCAAGATATAACAACATAAATTACCTAGTGTGAAAATAGACTGAAAAAATCAGTCAATGAATCAATCAAACTTCAGAGAACTTCAGAGGAAAAGAAAATGCTGGAGGCCCAGAAAGAGGGAAGAAAGGATAATTGAGCTATCAAACAAATGAACAAACTAAGGAGGAAAAAGTCTATTATATTATATATTCTTTCTTTTATCAATTACATTGTCATTTTCTCTCTCCTGTAATTGCTAAAAGGAAGAATATATAACATAATACACTGTTCCCTCCTCAGTTTGTTCATTTATGTTTGATGTTTGAAAGAAGTTTATATCATTTGGTAACAATGTTCAATGTATGAACAAGAAAAACACTAAAGGGTAAATGGATTTAAATGGAAATAAGGTTCCCATATTTTGATCAAAAATAAAATGCCGTTACTAGTAGAATGGTAAGTTGCAAATATATTATGTATATATTGTAATTCCTAAAGCAACAATTTTTAAAAGAAAGGTGGTGGGGGAAGCTATCATAGAGATACACTCAAAAACAGAAAGATAATCAAAATGAAATCTTTTAAAATGTTCCCTGAAAAGAATGGAAGAGATCAGAAACAAGAATGAGAAATAGAGAAAATAAATAAAACAAGAAACAAAAAGCCCAATATTTATTTTAAATATAAATGATCTAAATATTCTAGGTGAAAGTGCAAGTAGGGCAAGATAGATTTGTAAACCTAATTCTGTGGTGTACATAAGACTGACTTCACCATTAGCAAATGGTAGAATCAAAGTAAAGTAAGAGAAAGTAAATTAGGAAAAAACATTTTTTAAAAATAGAAATGGATGATGTAATATCTTCATTATTCATTTCCTGAATTCTAAAAATTAGAATGCTGAGGACCAAATATCCAGACTTATTTTTATAAATATAGTGATTCCCTGGCTGGCCTCAGTCACATATTTTCAAATATACGCTATATACTGAAGATGCCCAAATGTATATCATATTCTATGATCAATCTTCAATGACCTATTTTCTGTTTCTCAAAGTGGATATCTCTTGGAGTTGTCAAAATGTACTGACTGTCTCAATGTTTAAGATGAGGAATTTTCTCAGATTGTAACTGGTCTATTAATTTGGTCAAATGTATCTTGAAAATAATATACCATATTTCTTAGTTCATTTTGCAGAAAATAAATCTTTAGCAAAATCATATTATTTACATTTGAAAAATATAATCCATGAGAATGACTTTATTTTATCAACATATATTTAAATTTTATATTTATTTTAAATATAAATGATCTAAATATACTAGGGGAAAGAGCAAATAGGGCAAGATAGGAACTTTCATTCTCAGTGGCTTTCAAGGGGATAAAATATCTATCAGTGTTCTAGAAAAGGATAGAGAAGAGATTTAAAGGCATGAAAGGTTAGCTCTGACAAAAAAAATATTGCTAGATCCATATTTCTTAGTTCATTTTTCCAGAAAATAAATCTTTAGCAAAATCATTATGTCCTCAAGCAAAGAAAAATTAGAAAATATGGACTTCTACCTTCACACTGAGGTGACTCTAAGTTCCATTTAGACACATCACTTCTACTTCCCCAAACATTTCAAAAGGTTTGATACATTCATAACCTACTCTATCACCAGATGGATACTTAAGCATCTGGTTTGATATTATGTTAGCATTTTACACTCTGCATGGATTCACACAGGAAATATCTGAATAGAAAGAAAAGAAAGTGTCTTCACCTGGTGTTCATTTTGAGTAGCTAATCAATGAATAAAATTCCAAATACATTTTAAATAGGATTGAAGTAGTTCCTCTTTGTCATGAAGAACTTTTCTGATTTTAATGAATTCACATGTAACACAAGGAAAAGAAGATATAGCAATATTTTTTTGTCAGAGCTAATCTTTCATGCCTTTAAATCTCTTCTCTATCCTTTGCTAGAACACTGATAGATATTTTATCCCCTTGAAAGACACTGAGAATGAAAGTTCCTGAATATTTCCACTTGGTTTGAGTACAACAAATATTACAAGTTCCATAAGTGCAACATGAATTTTAAAATGCAAAAAAGGAGTAATAAGATTATATTACATCACTCTTTGGTATACAATTATTTTGCTCAATAATTAACTTTTTAGCCTGTTAAAATAAAAACTGAAAGAGGCATCTCTTTAGAGAATAAGTCAAGAATTAAGAACACAGTTTGAAGAATATTTTTTTATTCTTAAAACACAGTTCAAAAATGTTATGTACAACTATAATGCTCCAATAAAAGCAAAAAAATAGTTAAGTTAAAGTTTAAAAAGAGGAAGATTATCAATTAAAAAACTAAAGATGTGAGAAAGTAACAGAAAAGTACACCTATATTTATAGAAACATAGCTTTTAAAATTTATTTATAAGTGCTTTTGGATACTATGATGAACTATGTGTAATTCCTCAGAGAGTTTTAGGTGCATGGATAGTAGTAACAGGCTATAGCAATGGTTCCCAAATTTTGGAGTATGTAAAATCCTTTTTTTCCCAGTAGGCCTAAGATGAGCTCAGGAATTTTCATTTGAATTCATAAAAATCTGTTCAAAAATTTGATGCTGCTGATCTAGGGACCACACTCTGAGAACCATTGGGCTGTGAGATTAACCACTGTATATTTAATTAGCACCTTTCATTTCTAATCTTAAACTTACTTTGTCTTGGCCTGAAAATTAATCTATACTCATTTTTAAAATGGTATAGAAAATTTAATATTTCATAAGACACTATACATAAATTTATATTGCCATCAAAGTACTTTTGCACATTGGCTTTCCTATCCATTTGCCATTAATACATGTTATAGTGTTGGACCCATCCACTTGGTAAAATTTTGGACATCTGTAAGTCACTTGATCTCCTGACTTATATGATTCTTTCCTCTCTCCTAAAAGCGTGGCACTATCAAAGTTGGGTAAATTAAAACAATCTGTTCCTGAAACAGAAAAATATGTATTTGTTTACTAAATTATAAAATATGTAATAATATTCTAAATAATACTTAGCTACCTATAGATCCAATGAATAATGAATAATATACTTCTGACAACTTGGCAAAATACGATGTTTTGACTTAAATTGAACTGTTCTAAATTTATCAAATGTATAAGATAGGAATAATGCTTGAAGAAATATTAGTAGTTCTAATGGATTAGATCAGATTTTTACATTCAAATTATTTTTTGCCCACACTTGCCAAATGTATTATGTATTTCTACTTTTGGCTTCTGCAAATGTGAACTACTTACAATAATTATTTCAAAGTTTTATGAAATATGTATTTTGTAGTGAGATTGGTGATGAACTGAGCATGAGATGGATGAGTAGGGGCCAGTTTCTCTTAGAACAGAGAGAAATAAGAATTCTGAGAATTGATATTAGAGGATGCTAAATGTTCACACAAAATGATGTGAAAGTGAAACAATTTGGCTCACAGTGTCAAACTTTTTTTAATTATTAGGCTATAATTCTCTGCCAGATTCAAGAAACTTCAGGTACCTTGTAAAATTCTAGAATTACAGCTTACTTTCTTATTTGTACTATTTATACTTTGAATGAGGGAATCTATCACACATATTATAAAATTAAATACAATGTACTTATGCATTCTGGTGAGGAAGACCATTTTCCTCCTAAACATTTTATAAATGCAGGTCCATCAATTCCAAAACCTTCAGAACAATTATAAATAACTTCTTGTTCTTATGGGTAACTGTCTAACTCATGAGACACGACACCATTAGGAATGCAATACTTTTCAAAACATAGAAAATTCAACAAATAGAAAATTCCTTCACAAGGAAGTCCTAAAAAATAAAATAATGAAAGAATGAATCCATGTTTCACAACTCCAAAATTCAATTTTATAAGTCAATTTTGATATTTCACAGTTTTTGAAAAGAAATAATAATAAATAAGCTATTATAAAGTCACAGAGAATGTGCATAAAGGCTTCTTAAGTCCACCTTTCTCATGTATGTCCACCTCTCAAACTGTAAAAACATGTGCAAGAATTGAAGGCATTCCCTCTAAGATCTGGTACAAGACAGGGATGCCCTCTCTCACCACTTCTGTTCAACATAGTCCTCGAAACACTGGCCAGAGCAATTAGACAGACGAAAGAAATTAAAGGCATAAAAATAGGAAAAGAAGAACTTAAATTATCACTATTTGCAGAT